CTTCTCCTCTCTCCTGTTCTCTCCATCTCTCCCCTTTCCCTCTTTCTCCCTCCTTACTCTTCCCCTCTCCCTTCTTCTCTCTCTCCTGTCCTCTCCATCTCTCCCTCTCTCTCTCCTCTTCCTCCCTCTCCCCTCTTCTCCTCTCCTTCCTCCCTCTCCTTCTCTCTCTTGTTCTCTCCATCTCTCCCCCTCCCCTCCTCTTCCCTGCCTCTCTCCTCTTCTCCTCTCCTGTCCTCTCCATCTCCTCTCTCTCCCCTTCTCTCACTCCCTCCTCTTCCTCTTCCCCTCTCCCTCTTCTCCCCTCTCCCTCTTTCTCCCTCCTTACTCTTTCCTTTCTCTCCTCCCTCTCTCTTCTCCCCTCTCTTCCGTCCTCTCCATTTCTCCTCTCTTCCTTTTCTCCCTCCTCTAACTCCTTCCTGTCCTCTCTATTCCTCCTCTCTTCCCTCCTCTTCTCCCTCTTTCTCTCTCCTCTTCTCTCACTCTCTCCTCTTTCTCTTTCCCTTTCTCCCTCTCTCCTTTCTCTTTCCTTCCTCTTCCCCTCCTCTCCTCCCTCCTCCTTCTCCTATCTCTCCTGTTCTCTTCACACAACACAAATATGACTAACTGGTTGAAATATTGGCTCTAAATTATGAGGTTTGTTTGTCACTTCTTCGTGCTTGAATTTCTACCCAGTGTTGTGATTACTTTTCTACTGTTGTTACACATATCATATATATCACTTAGTGTTGCCCACTAACCCACGTGGGTCCCACGAATTTCACTTTACGTAATCATCGATTCCGTTCAGCATCTGTTTATTTCGTCGAAATTTGTTCCTATTCTAGACTGATCGATATTTGTGTGGTTATGTTCTTCTACCTACAAAGCGGGAAGTAAGTCATAGAAGGTTCGGGATTTTTGATCTGACCAGTTTTTGATATCGGTCACTGTTTGCTGTCAGTATTGCAAACATGCTCCCCTGGAGAACGGTGAGCTGAATTTTCCGCTCCCCTCTCCTCTCCCACTTCTCCCTCCTTTCTCTCTCCTCCTCTTTTCTCTCCTCCCTCTCTCTCTCCTCTTCTCCTGCCCTCTCTACCCATCCCCCTCCCTCTTCTCCTCTCCTGTCCTCTCCATCTCTCCTCTCTCCCTCTTTCTTCCTCCTTCCTCTTCCCCTCCTCTCCTCACTCCCCCTTCTCCTCTGTCTCCCGTCCTCTCCATCTCTCCTCTCTCCCTCTTTCTTCCTCCTTCCTTTTCCCCTTCTCTCCTCCCTCCTCCTTCTCCTCTCTCTCCTGTTCTCTCCATCTCCCCCCTCTCCCTCTTTCTCTCTCCTCTTCTCTCACTCGCTCCTTTTTCTCTTCCCCTCTCCCTCTCCTCCTCTCCCTCTTTCTTTCTCCTTACTCTTCCCCTCCTCTCCTTCCTCCCCCTTCTCCTCTCTCCTGTTCTCTCCATCTCTCCCCTTTCCCTCTTTCTCCCTCCTTACTCTTCCCCTCTCCCTTCTTCTCTCTCTCCTGTCCTCTCCATCTCTCCCTCTCTCTCTCCTCTTCCTCCTCTCTCCCCTCTTCTCCTCTCCTATCCTCCCTCTCCTTCTCCTCTCTCTCTTGTTCTCTCCATCTCTCCCCTCCCCCTCCTCTTCCCTGCCTCTCTCCTCTTCTCCTCTCCTGTCCTCTCCATCTCCTCTCTCTCCCCTTCTCTCACTCCCTCCTCTTCTCTTTCCCCTCTCCCTCTCTCCCTCTCCTCTTTCTCCCTCCTTACTCTTTCCCTCTTCTCCTCCCTCTCTCTTCTCCCCTCTCTTCCGTCCTCTCCATTTCTCCTCTCTTCCTTTTTCTCCCTCCTCTTCTCTAACTCCTTCCTGTCCTCTCTATTCCTCCCCTTCCTCTTCCCCTCTCCCTCTTCTCCTCTCTCCCTCTTTCTCTCTCCTTACTCTTCCCCTCCTCTCCTCCCTACCCCTTCTTTTCTCTCCTGTTCTCTCCATCTCTTCCTTTTCCCTCTTTCTCCCTCCTTACTCTTCCCCTTTCCCTTCTCCTCTCTCTCCTGTCCTCTCCATCTCTCCCTCTCTCTCTCCTCTTCCTCCTCTCTCCCCTCTTCTCTCCTATCCTCCCTCTCCTTCTCCTATCTTTCCTGTTCTCTCCATCTCTCCCCTCCCCCTCCTCTTCCCTGCCTCTCTTCTCTTCTCCTCTCCTGTCCTCTCCATCTCCTCTCTCTCCCCTTCTCTCACTCCCTCCTCTTCCTCTTCCCCTCTCTCTCTTCTCCTCTCTCCCTCTTCCTCTCTCTTTACTCTTTCCCTCCTCTCCTCCTTTTCCCTTCTCCTCTCTCCTCCGTCCTCTCCATCTCTCCTCTCTCCCTCTCTCTTTCTCTCCTCTTCCTCCTCCCTCCCCTCTTCTCCTCTTCTATCCTCCCTCCCCCTTCTCCTCCCTCTCCTGTTCTCTCCACCTCTCCTCTCTCCCTCTTTCTTCCTCCTTCCTTTTCCCCTCCTCTCCTCCCTCCTCCTTCTCCTATCTCTCCTGTTCTCTTCATCTCCCCTCTCTCCCTCTTTCTCTCTCCTCTTCTCTCACCCCCTCCTCTTTCTCTTCTCCTCTCCCTCTTCTCTCTCTTTCTCTCCTCTTCCTCCTCCCTCCCCTCTTCTCCTCTCCTATCCTCCCTTCCCCTTCTCCTTTCTTTCCTGTTCTCTCCATCTCTCCCCTCTCCCTCCTCTTCTTTGCCTCTCTCCTCTTCACCTCTCCTGTCCTCTCCATCTCCTCTCTCCCTCTTTCTCCCTCCTTACTCTTTCCCTTCTCTCCTCCCTCTCTCCCTTCTCCCCTCTCTCCTGTTCTCTCCATCTCCCCCTCTCCCTCTTTCTCTCTCCTCTTCTCTCACCCCCTCCTCTTTCTCTTCTCCTCTCCCTCTTCTCTCTCTTTCTCTCCTCTTCCTCCTCCCTCCCCTCTTCTTCTCTCCTATCCTCCCTCCCCCTTCTCCTTTCTTTCCTGTTCTCTCCATCTCTCCCCTCTCCCTCCTCTTCTTTGCCTCTCTCCTCTTCTCCTCTCCTGTCCTCTCCATCTCCTCTCTCCCTCTTTCTCCCTCCTTACTCTTTCCCTTCTCTCCTCCCTCTCCCTTCTCCCCTCTCTCCTGTTCTCTCCATCTCCCCCTCTCCCTCTTTCTCTCTCCTCTTCTCTCACTCTCTCCTCTTTCTCTTTCCCTTTCCCTCTCCTCCTCTCCCTCCTTCTTTCTCCTTACTCTTCCCCTTCTCTCCTCCCTCTCTCTTCTCCCCTCTCTTCCGTCCTCTCCATTTCTCCTCTCTTCCTTTTTCTCCCTCCTCTTCTCTAACTCCTTCCTGTCCTCTCTATTCCTCCCCTTCCTCTTCCCCTCTCCCTCTTCTCCTCTCTCCCTCTTTCTCTCTCCTTACTCTTTCTTTCCTCTCCTCCCTTTCCCTTCTCCCCTCTCTCCCGTCCTCACCATCTCTCCTCTCTCCCTCTCTCTTTCTCTCTTTTTCTCCCTTTCCTCTTCTCCTCTCCTATCCTCTTTCCCCCATCTCCTCTCTCTCCTGTTCTCTCCATCTCTCCCCTCCCCCTCCTCTTCCCTGCCTCTCTCTTCTTCTCCTCTCCTGTCCTCTCCATCTCCTCTCTCTCCCCTTCTCTCACTCCCTCCTCTTCCTCTTCCCCTCTCTCTCTTCTCCCCCCTCCCTCTTCCCCTCTCCTTACTCTTTCCCTCCTCTCCTCCTTTTCCCTTCTCCTCTCTCTTCCGTCCTCTCCATCTCTCCTCTCTCCCTCTCTCTTTCTCTCCTCTTCCTCCTCCCTCCCCTCTTCTCCTCTCCTATCCTCCCTCCCCCTTCTCCTTTCTTTCCTGTTCTCTCCATCTTCTCCCTCCTCTTTCTTTGCCTCTCTCCTCTTCTCTTCTCCTGTCCTCTCCATCTCCTCTCTCCCTTTTCTCCTCCTTACTCTTTCCCTTCCCTCTCCTTCTTCTCTCTCTCCTGTCCTCTCCATCTCTCCTCTCTCTCTCCTCTTCCTCCTCTCTCCCTCTTTCTCCTCTCCTATCCTCCCTCTCCTTCTCCTCTCTCTCTTGTTCTCTCCATGTCTCCCCTCCCCCTCTTCCCTGCCTCTCTTCTCTTCTCCTCTCCTGTCCTCTCCATCTCCTCTCTCTCCCCTTCTCTCACTCCCTCCTCTTCCTCTTTCCCTCTCTCTCTTCTCCTCTCTCACTCTTTCTCCCTCCTTACTCTTTCCCTTCTCTCCTCCCTCTCCCTTCTCCCCTCTCTTCCGTCCTCTCCATTTCTCCTCTCTTGCTTTTTCTCCCTCCTCTTCTCTAACTCCCTCCTGTCCTCTCTATCCCTCCCCCTTCCTCTTCTCCTCTCCCTCTTCTTCCCTTCCTCCCTCTTGTCCTCTTTTCTTCCTTTTCCTCTTCTCCTCTCTCTCCTGTCCTCTCTATCCCTCCTCTCTTTCTTCTCTCCTTCCTCCCTCCTATCCTCTCTTTCTCTTTTTCCTCTTCTCCTCTCTCTTTCCTGTCCTCTCTATCCCATCTCTCCCGCCTCTCCCTCTTCTCCCCTTCCTCATAATTTTTTTTTTTTTTAATTCAGTGGTTGCATTAGTTGTTTGTGCTAGTTCCTCATAATTTTTATTTATTGGGAGAAATGCCTAATACATCCATTTGGAGGAAGGTGTCTCTTTTTATTCAGTGTTTTATTGTGAAAAAATGAAGACATAAATTGTTGACATACATAGTTAAGAAAGAGAAAGCAACATATTCACGTAATTGATGAGGTACTTGGAGAGATCACTTTTTATTATCACGTTAATCTTAATTATTCATTTCATACCAATAATATGATCTAACTTCAAAGTGCTCACATATGTAGAGACTTCGAAGTTGGTCCAAACTTTTGTTCCTAGTTGTTGTGATTTGTACCTACCCTCCATGATATTATTATTAGTTTATTTTTATTTATGTAGATGTAACGGTTCTGAAGTTTGAAAAATTTGATTTCCTTCTAATAATTTCATTAGAGACTAAACGATTAAAAATCTGATTTTTTTCATTTATAGCAGAGTGTCAAAATGGTTTGGCCGTTTAATTCAACAAAGCCTTCGCTTTCTTCATCGCTTAACTCTTCGCATTCAGAGACGCAGTCAACTTTATTGCCTGATTTAGCAGTGATTGAGTCAGCATACCATTTGAGAAACAGCTATCGCCATACTTACAGATGGATCCTACCGTTTTCCGGGAATCTACTCCTCAGTAAGTTGTTAAATACGTTTTGTTTTCATTTTTCTTTTTATTTATTTATTTTCGTTTTCGAAAGTGTCTAGTATGAATTTTCCTGCTTACAATGAAATTTGAATTGTGCTCTTTTTAGCTGCTGGTGCAGTTATTGGAGGACTGTTTCGATGTGCACGTGATTTACACGCTTCAATGGTTGGAGCGGGTATTGGGTATTTGCTCGTTTAATTTGGTTGCTGAGTGATCAAAACAGCCGAAATAGATTATGGGAAGTGCGAAAGCACTTGACCGGTAAACAAGATTATAGTTATTGATTTGAATTATATTCTTTCGGACCTAAAATTTCTTTAGTATATGGAGTTAAAAGTTTCTTGCCATTTTAGAAATATTAAAGCACTTTGGATTGAATTTTTGTACGTATATTTACTTTCCACTATTTTTTTTTTTTTTTTTTGAAGATTTATTATGAATTTTTTTTCAAGCAGTAGAATCAAGTAGTATATATATATATATATATATATATATTGGGAAAAAAAGTTTGATAATTGATAGCTGTAACTATGAAGTCCAGCTTATATCAATCAATTGTGTCCCAATTTTAGAGGTAGTGAAAACGTTCAGAAAGCTGTTAGTAGAATACTTGATATATTCGAAGAACGTCAAATTTATTCAAAATCGCAGCTAGCTGATATGCGTGCTGCACAAAGAAAGTATTAAATCACCTGATCTTTCTGTATGTCGTAATTAGAACGTCTCGAATTCAGTAAAGGATATATGGACTTGTGCTGCTTCAAAAGATGTGATATTTGTTCTGGAGGGGTATGAGGCTTTTTTTTTTCTTGATTTTAAAAGTAATTCAAGTTGAGAGTCGTTATTAATATGGTGAAGCTCGTATAATTCGGATAAATCTCTTAGTCCTGGTGTTTAAATTCATTGTAGATTTTCAAAATAATTAGTTCAGATGACAGCAATGAATTGGAAGACAATACGCTAATTGATTTCGATATCGGATACCTAATACGTGATGTTGAGGGTTATCATAAAGGAAATTTGGTTATGGAACGTGCAAGAGAGCTACTTTCCAGAAGCGACTTCAATTTTAAGAATAAAATAAAGAGTCGGATGAAAGGTGAGGAAATTTTTCAAATGATATTAGCTTTATGGACTTAGTTTGTTATTACTGATACCATGATAAGATGTTAAGCATTAAGTATCATCAAATATTAAGTTGAGCTCAAAGTGCGTTTTGATGATATTTAAATGATTGCATTAATTTTAAAATATTAAATTGAAGTTTTTCAGTTCTTTGCATTTGCAGATCGCCGAGATGGTGAAAAATTCATGGGAGAAATTGAACAGTCTTACACAAAGCTAACAGATTTTTTCGGTGCATTAGCAAAGCACCGCAAACGTGGGCAGCATCTTCTGGCTGAAATTGAATGAGCTAAACGTTGCTTTACTTTGCAACTGCGGGATGTGACTGTTGTGGAAGATGTACGCAGTTCATTTTTGTGATTTGCACAAAAGACTTTTTATATTTTGTTTTTTAAAATAGGCGGAAGACCGTAGTGCTTCAAGTCCTAGTATTTAAATTTTATCATCAAATTATACTCTTTCAGTTACAAATTTGATATAAAATTTTAATTAGCATTATCAGTTGTTATTTTTTTAGGCTTACCAAAAATTTGGTGCTGGGATTGATGAAGTTTGTATAGAAGTGGAGGAAATGCTAAAAACAAGTGTTTATCCAGGTGCTTCTCCTCCACGTGATGCTCCCTCACCAACAGCCAATGATGATCCATTTAGGGAGGGTGTCGAAATTGCATTCAAGCGTAAGTTTTGTGAATTTATTTATAACGATTCATTTATAAGACCTTTTTTTGATAAGATATAATTGTATTCAAAGTGTATTGTCCATTGTTTGGAATTTCAGACTCATTTCTAGTTATCTTTCTGCTTGTTTACTACGTCCTAATGAAAACAATTGCAGAAATGAGAGGACCACAGTGCGGTTCTAGCTCATTACTGCCACTACCAAAGCTGGTACCGTCCAGAGAGGAACCTGTTGTTACACCCGGTAAATATTCATAACCATTTTTTTTTTTTTCAAGGTTCACCTTTCATTGACAGAAATTCAACTTTTTGAGGATTGGTTCGATGGAAAATTAATAAGGACTACAAAACATGAACAGGAAATGGAGGGCTCCCGAAGTTTGCTTACAGAGATCTAAGATTTGATTGCTGGCGGATTGCACTCTTTGGTGGGTTTTGTGCTACAAAAATGAGAATTTTAAATTGGCGCTGCGATTCGCCAAGTTGGCACTATGCCAGGAACGAGGTTACTCTTATTTCTTAAAGTTGATATTTATTTCGTTGCTTTCTGAACGATTCCGGTTTTCTTTACGGATTTTGCAAGAGTTTTATTCCAGGTTTCGATTTGGGGAAGTCTATCACACGAATTCGTCTTCACATAAATACATCCTTCACATCGGTAAGACTGAATACTTGTTGAAGGAGGAAAAATAAGGAATGAAACGAGGACAATCTTCAGCCTTCTGCATTTGGCCTGTTTTGTATATGCTAGAGATAGGTGGGGGTATATATATAGGGACGATGTTCTCATGTAATTTAATTCCTCGCATCATTACCATCTACTGTTTTAATTCAGTGGTTGCATTAGTTGTTTGTGTGTCCTACAAAAAATTTATTTATGGAAAAGTAATACAACAAAAACTGACCATACACAAAATAATTTACTTCATTTCAAAAATAAAACTAACTACTTCACAAAAAACTGGAGTAATAATCGAAAACTTTTGACTATCCACATACTAAAGAAATTTTAGGTTCGAAAGAATATTAAACTTTGATCAATACTTCACTAAATTGGAATTCAAATCAATAAGTATAATCTTGTTTGCCGGTCAAGATGTTGAATCCTTTAGATCTTAACAACTAAAATTCACTTTCGAAAACGAAAATAAATAAATAAAAAGGAAAATGGAAACAGTTAATAACACGAAGGTGAGTGTTAGAATAATTACTTGCATGAGATGCAATTTGAAACACTTGTATTTCTTTAATAAATGTTCAATTAAGACAAATTTTAATATTATGGATTAATATAATTTTATTCCATATATATAATAAGTTATTTGGAGGTTCGCGAGACTTATTTATCACTTTCGTTTGGTCTAATTTAAAGCAAACTGTGGTTGTACAATGAGGATTTGCATAAGATAAATGTTACTATTATATTCTCATATTTTCAAAAGAAAAACTGAAAAATAATTGAACATACTCCCGCTGAATCAACTTTATCTGCATATTCCCATGTTTTTCCAATTGTGGTCACGTAGAAATTGATACTGTACTTGCGTGAAATATCATTGGAAAAAAAATGATTTTGTTACTAATAATAACAAAAGGCATCAATCAGTATTCATTTCTCTGATAATTATAATCAAAAACATGTCATAAGATGAATGTTTATCAGTTCATTACTTCAGCAATTTCACCAAAACCTATTTTACTAATAGTAAATGAAGAAATAAAATAAAAACTTCCATAATAAAGATCATTTTTTGAACACATAAAAATAACAACTTATATTCGTTACAAAGCATAAAAATATGCTCTCAGTTGATCATTTGGCTATTGTCAGTTAATCATTTGGCTTGAAATCTTATTGATGATTTAGAAATTTTCCTCAGATATATTATATACGATGCGTAAATGTGGGATGAAATTTTACGTCATTTCAAATTCTACTATTTGTCAAACAATAATAAACAAATGTCGCATTGAAACGGACACAATATGATGTTTGTACTAGAATATTTCCGAAACAATTAATCGCAATGCATTCAGTTTGTGAGGATTAATTCATGGATTACTTTATGTGCATTTGCATATTTTATTAATGACTAATACCATTTATACGTACCAGAAGAGAGTTCTTTTGTGTAGATAGTTTGTCATGGCCATGACAAATATGACTAACTGGTTGAAATATTGGCTCTAAATTATGAGGTTTGTTTGTCACTTCTTCGTGCTTGAATTTCTACCCAGTGTTGTGATTACTTTTCTACTGTTGTTACACATATATATATATCACTTAGTGTTGCCCACTAACCCACGTGGGTCCCACGAATTTCACTTTACGTAATCATCGATTCCGTTCAGCATCTGTTTATTTCGTCGAAATTTGTTCCTATTCTAGAGTGATCGATATTTGTGTGGTTATGTTCTTCTACCTACAAAGCGGGAAGTAAGTCATAGAAGGTTCGGGATTTTTGATCACTGACATGATCTGCTATGAAGTACGACGTCTATGTAGAAGATTAACAAATTGAACGAGACGTGTTTGACTTCCAGGTTCAGTAGAAAATGAATAAAAAGAGGACAAATGCATTGGTTAATTATAAAAGTAAGCAAGTGCTAATTTTGTCTCCAATCTGAAGGATGGATCAAATAAATTGATCACTATTCCTCTGTTGCTCTTTAATGAATTTCTTATTGGTCCAAAATTTTTTCAATCTGGAATAAGAAAAAAGGAAAATCTTCAGAAAATGTGATTCTTCTCCATATGTGAATGAAGAGAAAGGATGAAAGAAATGAAATCTATGATTGCTCTACAGCATCAAACATTTTACTTATCCATTAATTTGTTCGACGACAGTAATCTTTCTATTGTTGTAACAAAAAAGATAAGAAACGGTTACATAAGTGAAAGAGGAAGAAAAGTTATTAATTAATTAATTGTACCGTTCAAATTATAAAATAACATCCTACTTATAAATGATAACACAATTGTACGATATGATCGTTTAGGATATCTACTTGACAGTGAGTGTTTTAAAACCCTGAAGAAATGCTTAAAAAAATTAAATATGGTAATTTTCCAAGAAGTTATCTATATGTAAAAAAGTGGATTACACATTTGTATTATTCATTCTAGAATAAATTGTGTTTATGAAAGACTAAAGAAGAATTGTAGTTTGGAAATCTATTTTCAAGAACCAATAATTGTTCTTTTATCTCATTTCTTTCCGTCCAAGAACTTTTTAATAATAATAATAAAAAATAAGAAAAAAAAAAACAAAACCGAAAATAAAAAGGAAAATTAAGAGTTGATTAATGGGTAATAATTTCAATATGAAGCATATTCAAAATAAAAAAAAAAAATGAAGAAATAATGTGGCGTGTGATTTTTAATAGAACGACATTAATTCATAGTGACTAATTGCACTTTATAGATGGGATGGTATTTCTGTCAACATTAGTCAACGTTAAACTTTTATATAACAAATTAAAGGTTTTACATAATTTACTAAGGTTATTTTCATTTTTCATGGTCATCCTTTGAACATTTATTAACATATTTTCTTTCTCTCACTTCGACAACTTTCAACAAATTCCACGCCACATAACATCAATCTTACGATCAAGAAATGATGCTGAGTAGTGTTGAATATTAAGCTATTACTGTTTACTATTTTCTTTTTCAAGCACTAAGGTTTCTCAGGTATAGTGCAGATGTCGAAGAACGAAGATGTGTAAAAGTGGTTGAAAACATGAGAAATAGAACATTCTTTTTCAATGTTATTCGTTTTCTAAACCGACCATGGTTAGTTCAGAACTGAACCGCTAGAATATATTTTCTGTTCATCGCTTCAAATCATTATTTCACTAATAGAAATATCGCCTTTTGCAATACTGGGTTTATCAAATTTCTTCAAGGACAGGTTTGTTTACATATTTTTAAGTGACTCTGCCTTCTTTTTGTGGATTTTATTACAAAATATAGAAATGATTAGAAAAGATAAAAGTCTATAAAGTATGTTTCTTTTCTTTTTTCTAAAACTATCTCCATTTCTATCGTTTGCATCATATTATAAATTCATGTGTTTTTCGAGAACAGAATTAAATAAAACGCTAGCATTTTGATGAGGCGAAATTCGTAATATTTTCAATGATCTTTGCTGATAATACGTATTGAAATATAAAGTGATAATTGATGTACCTACCATAGCATTATTCATTGTTAAAGGTGACTAATGATGAAATAAAGAAAACAAATATATTTCGCACTTTCAAAATTAGTAACTCATGCATATTAACTATTTCGAATGTCTATGACATTTGAATTTTTGACAGAACTGACAGGGCGGTTGTGGTGCACCGAATAGGAGGAAATAACGCATAATTCCCTCCTCCTCTCCCTCTTTCTTTCTCCTTACTCTTCCCCTCCTCTCCTTCCTCCCCCTTCTCCTCTCTCCTGTTCTCTCCATCTCTCCCCTTTTCCTCTTTCTCCCTCCTTACTCTTCCCCTCTCCCTTCTTCTCTCTCTCCTGTCCTCTCCATCTCTCCCTCTCTCTCTCCTCTTCCTCCTCTCTCCCCTCTTCTCCTCTCCTATCCTCCCTCTCCTTCTCCTCTCTCTCTTGTTCTCTCCATCTCTCCCCTCCCCCTCCTCTTCCCTGCCTCTCTCCTCTTCTCCTCTCCTGTCCTCTCCATCTCCTCTCTCTCCCCTTCTCTCACTCCCTCCTCTTCCTCTTCCCCTCTCTCTCTTCTCCCCTCTCCCTCTTTCTCCCTCCTTACTCTTTCCCTTCTCTCCTCCCTCTCTCTTCTCCCCTCTCTTCCGTCCTCTCCATTTCTCCTCTCTTGCTTTTTCTCCCTCCTCTTCTCTAACTCCCTCCTGTCCTCTCTATCCCTCCCCCTTCCTCTTCTCCTCTCCCTCTTCTTCCCTTCCTCCCTCTTGTCCTCTTTTCTTCCTTTTCCTCTTCTCCTCTCTCTCCTGTCCTCTCTATCCCTCCTCTCTTTCTTCTCTCCTTCCTCCCTCCTATCCTCTCTTTCTCTTTTTCCTCTTCTCCTCTCTCTTTCCTGTCCTCTCTATCCCATCTCTCCCGCCTCTCCCTCTTCTCCCCTTCCTCATAATTTTTTTTTTTTTTAATTCAGTGGTTGCATTAGTTGTTTGTGCTAGTTCCTCATAATTTTTATTTATTGGGAGAAATGCCTAATACATCCATTTGGAGGAAGGTGTCTCTTTTTATTCAGTGTTTTATTGTGAAAAAATGAAGACATAAATTGTTGACATACATAGTTAAGAAAGAGAAAGCAACATATTCACGTAATTGATGAGGTACTTGGAGAGATCACTTTTTATTATCACGTTAATCTTAATTATTCATTTCATACCAATAATATGATCTAACTTCAAAGTGCTCACATATGTAGAGACTTCGAAGTTGGTCCAAACTTTTGTTCCTAGTTGTTGTGATTTGTACCTACCCTCCATGATATTATTATTAGTTTATTTTTATTTATGTAGATGTAACGGTTCTGAAGTTTGAAAAATTTGATTTCCTTCTAATAATTTCATTAGAGACTAAACGATTAAAAATCTGATTTTTTTCATTTATAGCAGAGTGTCAAAATGGTTTGGCCGTTTAATTCAACAAAGCCTTCGCTTTCTTCATCGCTTAACTCTTCGCATTCAGAGACGCAGTCAACTTTATTGCCTGATTTAGCAGTGATTGAGTCAGCATACCATTTGAGAAACAGCTATCGCCATACTTACAGATGGATCCTACCGTTTTCCGGGAATCTACTCCTCAGTAAGTTGTTAAATACGTTTTGTTTTCATTTTTCTTTTTATTTATTTATTTTCGTTTTCGAAAGTGTCTAGTATGAATTTTCCTGCTTACAATGAAATTTGAATTGTGCTCTTTTTAGCTGCTGGTGCAGTTATTGGAGGACTGTTTCGATGTGCACGTGATTTACACGCTTCAATGGTTGGAGCGGGTATTGGGGTATTTGCTCGTTTAATTTGGTTGCTGAGTGATCAAAACAGCCGAAATAGATTATGGGAAGTGCGAAAGCACTTGACCGGTAAACAAGATTATAGTTATTGATTTGAATTATATTCTTTCGGACCTAAAATTTCTTTAGTATATGGATAGTTAAAAGTTTCTTGCCATTTTAGAAATATTAAAGCACTTTGGATTGAATTTTTTGTACGTATATTTACTTTCCACTATTTTTTTTTTTTTTTTTTTTTGAAGATTTATTATGAATTTTTTTTCAAGCAGTAGAATCAAGTAGTATATATATATATATATATATATATTGGGAAAAAAAGTTTGATAATTGATAGCTGTAACTATGAAGTCCAGCTTATATCAATCAATTGTGTCCCAATTTTAGAGGTAGTGAAAACGTTCAGAAAGCTGTTAGTAGAATACTTGATATATTCGAAGAACGTCAAATTTATTCAAAATCGCAGCTAGCTGATATGCGTGCTGCACAAAGAAAGTATTAAATCACCTGATCTTTCTGTATGTCGTAATTAGAACGTCTCGAATTCAGTAAAGGATATATGGACTTGTGCTGCTTCAAAAGATGTGATATTTGTTCTGGAGGGGTATGAGGCTTTTTTTTTTTCTTGATTTTAAAAGTAATTCAAGTTGAGAGTCGTTATTAATATGGTGAAGCTCGTATAATTCGGATAAATCTCTTAGTCCTGGTGTTTAAATTCATTGTAGATTTTCAAAATAATTAGTTCAGATGACAGCAATGAATTGGAAGACAATACGCTAATTGATTTCGATATCGGATACCTAATACGTGATGTTGAGGGTTATCATAAAGGAAATTTGGTTATGGAACGTGCAAGAGAGCTACTTTCCAGAAGCGACTTCAATTTTAAGAATAAAATAAAGAGTCGGATGAAAGGTGAGGAAATTTTTCAAATGATATTAGCTTTATGGACTTAGTTTGTTATTACTGATACCATGATAAGATGTTAAGCATTAAGTATCATCAAATATTAAGTTGAGCTCAAAGTGCGTTTTGATGATATTTAAATGATTGCATTAATTTTAAAATATTAAATTGAAGTTTTTCAGTTCTTTGCATTTGCAGATCGCCGAGATGGTGAAAAATTCATGGGAGAAATTGAACAGTCTTACACAAAGCTAACAGATTTTTTCGGTGCATTAGCAAAGCACCGCAAACGTGGGCAGCATCTTCTGGCTGAAATTGAATGAGCTAAACGTTGCTTTACTTTGCAACTGCGGGATGTGACTGTTGTGGAAGATGTACGCAGTTCATTTTTGTGATTTGCACAAAAGACTTTTTATATTTTGTTTTTTAAAATAGGCGGAAGACCGTAGTGCTTCAAGTCCTAGTATTTAAATTTTATCATCAAATTATACTCTTTCAGTTACAAATTTGATATAAAATTTTAATTAGCATTATCAGTTGTTATTTTTAGGCTTACCAAAATTTGGTGCTGGGATTGATGAAGTTTGTATAGAAGTGGAGGAAATGCTAAAAACAAGTGTTTATCCAGGTGCTTCTCCTCCACGTGATGCTCCCTCACCAACAGCCAATGATGATCCATTTAGGGAGGGTGTCGAAATTGCATTCAAGCGTAAGTTTTGTGAATTTATTTATAACGATTCATTTATAAGACCTTTTTTTGATAAGATATAATTGTATTCAAAGTGTATTGTCCATTGTTTGGAATTTCAGACTCATTTCTAGTTATCTTTCTGCTTGTTTACTACGTCCTAATGAAAACAATTGCAGAAATGAGAGGACCACAGTGCGGTTCTAGCTCATTACTGCCACTACCAAAGCTGGTACCGTCCAGAGAGGAACCTGTTGTTACACCCGGTAAATATTCATAACCATTTTTTTTTTTCAAGGTTCACCTTTCATTGACAGAAATTCAACTTTTTGAGGATTGGTTCGATGGAAAAATTAATAAGGACTACAAAACATGAACAGGAAATGGAGGGCTCCCGAAGTTTGCTTACAGAGATCTAAGATTTGATTGCTGGCGGATTGCACTCTTTGGTGGGTTTTGTGCTACAAAAATGAGAATTTTAAATTGGCGCTGCGATTCGCCAAGTTGGCACTATGCCAGGAACGAGGTTACTCTTATTTCTTAAAGTTGATATTTATTTCGTTGCTTTCTGAACGATTCCGGTTTTCTTTACGGATTTTGCAAGAGTTTTATTCCAGGTTTCGATTTGGGGAAGTCTATCACACGAATTCGTCTTCACATAAATACATCCTTCACATCGGTAAGACTGAATACTTGTTGAAGGAGGAAAAATAAGGAATGAAACGAGGACAATCTTCAGCCTTCTGCATTTGGCCTGTTTTGTATATGCTAGAGATAGGTGGGGGTATTTATATATAGGGACGATGTTCTCATGTAATTTAATTCCTCGCATCATTACCATCTACTGTTTTAATTCAGTGGTTGCATTAGTTGTTTGTGTGTCCTACAAAAAAATTTATTTATGGAAAAGTAATACAACAAAAAACTGACCATACACAAAATAATTTACTTCATTTCAAAAAATAAAACTAACTACTTCACAAAAAAAACTGGAGTAATAATCGAAAACTTTTGACTATCCACATACTAAAGAAATTTTAGGTTCGAAAGAATATTAAACTTTGATCAATACTTCACTAAATTGGAATTCAAATCAATAAGTATAATCTTGTTTGCCGGTCAAGATGTTGAATCCTTTAGATCTTAACAACTAAAATTCACTTTCGAAAACGAAAATAAATAAATAAAAAGGAAAATGGAAACAGTTAATAACACGAAGGTGAGTGTTAGAATAATTACTTGCATGAGATGCAATTTGAAACACTTGTATTTCTTTAATAAATGTTCAATTAAGACAAATTTTAATATTATGGATTAATATAATTTTATTCCATATATATAATAAGTTATTTGGAGGTTCGCGAGACTTATTTATCACTTTCGTTTGGTCTAATTTAAAGCAAACTGTGGTTGTACAATGAGGATTTGCTTACATAAGATAAATGTTACTATTATATTCTCATATTTTCAAAAGAAAAACTGAAAAATAATTGAACATACTCCCGCTGAATCAACTTTATCTGCATATTCCCATGTTTTTCCAATTGTGGTCACGTAGAAATTGATACTGTACTTGCGTGAAATATCATTGGAAAAAAAATGATTTTGTTACTAATAATAACAAAAGGCATCAATCAGTATTCATTTCTCTGATAATTATAATCAAAAACATGTCATAAGATGAATGTTTATCAGTTCATTACTTCAGCAATTTCACCAAAACCTATTTTACTAATAGTAAATGAAGAAATAAAATAAAAACTTCCATAATAAAGATCATTTTTTGAACACATAAAAATAACAACTTATATTCGTTACAAAGCATAAAAATATGCTCTCAGTTGATCATTTGGCTATTGTCAGTTAATCATTTGGCTTGAAATCTTATTGATGATTTAGAAATTTTCCTCAGATATATTATATACGATGCGTAAATGTGGGATGAAATTTTACGTCATTTCAAATTCTACTATTTGTCAAACAATAATAAACAAATGTCGCATTGAAACGGACACAATATGATGTTTGTACTAGAATATTTCCGAAACAATTAATCGCAATGCATTCAGTTTGTGAGGATTAATTCATGGATTACTTTATGTGCATTTGCATATTTTATTAATGACTAATACCATTTATACGTACCAGAAGAGAGTTCTTTTGTGTAGATAGTTTGTCATGGCCATGACAAATATGACTAACTGGTTGAAATATTGGCTCTAAATTATGAGGTTTGTTTGTCACTTCTTCGTGCTTGAATTTCTACCCAGTGTTGTGATTACTTTTCTACTGTTGTTACACATATCATATATATCACTTAGTGTTGCCCACTAACCCACGTGGGTCCCACGAATTTCACTTTACGTAATCATCGATTCCGTTCAGCATCTGTTTATTTCGTCGAAATTTGTTCCTATTCTAGAGTGATCGATATTTGTGTGGTTATGTTCTTCTACCTACAAAGCGGGAAGTAAGTCATAGAAGGTTCGGGATTTTTGATCACTGACATGATCTGCTATGAAGTACGACCAACGTCTATGTAGAAGATTAACAAATTGAACGAGACGTGTTTGACTTCCAGGTTCAGTAGAAAATGAATAAAAAGAGGACAAATGCATTGGTTAATTATAAAAGTAAGCAAGTGCTAATTTTGTCTCCAATCTGAAGGATGGATCAAATAAATTGATCACTATTCCTCTGTTGCTCTTTTAATGAATTTCTTATTGGTCCAAAATTTTTTTCAATCTGGAATAAGAAAAAAGGAAAATCTTCAGAAAATGTGATTCTTCTCCATATGTGAATGAAGAGAAAGGATGAAAGAAATGAAATCTATGATTGCTCTACAGCATCAAACATTTTACTTATCCATTAATTTGTTCGACGACAGTAATCTTTCTATTGTTGTAACAAAAAAGATAAGAAACGGTTACATAAGTGAAAGAGGAAGAAAAGTTATTAATTAATTAATTGTACCGTTCAAATTATAAAATAACATCCTACTTATAAATGATAACACAATTGTACGATATGATCGTTTAGGATATCTACTTGACAGTGAGTGTTTTAAAACCCTGAAGAAATGCTTAAAAAAATTAAATATGGTAATTTTCCAAGAAGTTATCTATATGTAAAAAAGTGGATTACACATTTGTATTATTCATTCTAGAATAAATTGTGTTTATGAAAGACTAAAGAAGAATTGTAGTTTGGAAATCTATTTTCAAGAACCAATAATTGTTCTTTTATCTCATTTCTTTCCGTCCAAGAACTTTTAAATAATAATAATAATAAAAATAAAGAAAAAAAAAAAACAAAAAAACCGAAAATAAAAAGGAAAAATTAAGAGTTGATTAATGGGTAATAATTTCAATATGAAGCATATTCAAAATAAAAAAAAAAAATGAAGAAATAATGTGGCGTGTGATTTTTAATAGAACGACATTAATTCATAGTGACTAATTGCACTTTATAGATGGGATGGTATTTCTGTCAACATTAGTC